ATTACGTACCACCATAATTTATAGAATTAAAAACATTTGAGTCTGTTGGAACACAGTCGAAGTCAAAATTGTCATATTATTTCCACTGACGAAGTTGTTGGATCGTACGCAAACTCTCGATGAAAATCACTTTCCGCCATGATGCAATTGCAGATTTGACCTACAGCAGCGTCGTTTGACCAAATGGGTCAAAGTTGGTTATTAACTAATCAGAATGCTGTGTTGTACAGACGCAATTCTTCGGAAATTCCCAAAGACTTTCTGGTAACGCAATGCGGAAGTGAATAATCAATGTCGAAGTACGATCTGTTGGAATTGATTTCAGCGAATAAACGACATGGTTTTTCCAAAAAACTAGTAACTAGCCATTTTTGAGAGGTAAACTGAATATGGCATGAAATATTTATCGCATTTTACTTGTACTAACAGGTCATTCTCGAAGCGTAGTTTACGCACGGTTACCGTGTTCTACGCATTCACAACATATTCACAGCGATCGATGTCCACGCTGTATCATATAAAAACGATTACCAAGATTCGTTACGCAAGACCAAGTTTTAAATTAGTTGCATTTTGAAGGGGTGGGCGCTTTGCCGAATGTGACCCCAAATATAAAAATTTTGCAAAAGTGGGGGGGGGGGGGGCGCTTGCCCGGGCATGGGCGCTAACGTGGTCGAGTACGGTATCTGCCATGTAGAAAACAACCACTATAAAGTCGAATTGATAAATTGTACAAATTGGCAAATTGAATTTTAAACAAGTACATGCAAAATTACATTCAAATATTCAAAGACAATTTACATCATACATGTAAAAAATCCAAGAAAGTATTAATTACGTTTTTTGATTCAAGAATTTCAAAACAAAAATAAGATCCCTACCCATTACTCATCACATTATTAACTGTAAATTGTTAAGTATTAAGAAAGTTTGAAGAAATTTGATCTTCCATGTTTCAGAACCCAAGAGCTCAACAGTGGGTGGTGCCCGGAGTAGTAACAGTGGTTTCAGCGGAGGAGGTGGGAGCAGCACTGTTTCAGGTGGAATGGGAGGAGGAGGGGGGCTATTTGCAGGAGGAATGCCACAACTTCGAAAAACAGGGAACCTTGCCTATGGCACAAACACAGGTACGATTCACATCAGATTTGGAACCATCTTGTCTGCCAGGTTCAGTGTACTGGCTGATGCCAGAGGGATAAAAATGTAAATCACTTCATTTGCATGCATAATTACTGTCCACTTTAGTTTACAGTGTATATTTGATATTATGTGTGAAAATATAAGATGCAGTGTTGTGTTCACATCAAGTAAAATCTTATTTTGTGCTCAGTTGGTATTAGATTTCTGAACTTTGCTGACTTTGCAGATGTTGTTTTTGATTTCAGAATCTATTTAGGAGACCAGTGATAATTAAAACACTTACACAGCAAATTTAATCACTTTGTTCAACTTTCATTCTCTGAATGGAAGTTTGCAAGTGTCACAAATTTTGTGTGGAAACTATATTTAAACTATTTAAACTAAAAATGACATTTGGCAGAGACATGTTCCTACAATGATTCAGTGTGACTGGTTGAAATAACTCACCTATGCCCCTCTCTTCTAAATTGAGAAATTACGTTTATCATGTATGTGTTTTGATTATCCATAGCTACTTATCCATAGCTAGATTTATTTTTAATCTCATTTGAGCTGTGGTATAGATTGAGTGATTGATTGAGTGACTACTGAAATCTTCAACACATCGCCTGGTGAATGCCTCCACAGATGAATGTGAAAAAAAAACGCATAAGCAGGCGATGTGCTAACATTTTTTGCAATGCCTACTCACAATGTATAAATGCATTTCATTCTTTGCTGCTCTTTCTCTCTTTGTAAAAACTTGCTGAGAATCTTCCATTAGGTAACTTGTATGATCATACATGTACAACCCCCATCTTAACAGGCAACAGATTAATCTATTCTGTGCGGAGGTGTGACAGCTTATAACTCTGTTGGCTCTATCATCTAATTGTTTAATTTCACCCACAGCGCATCCACCACCACCACATAAAGCACCCCCACCTTACAATGTAGCTGTAAATAGGAAAAAAAGTTTAAAAAGAGGTAAATCGAGTGGGTCACACTTTTTCTGTACACCCATCATTTTATATATTCTTAATGTTACCCCTACTACTCTAAATGTTGTTTGTACACGTATGTATATTTGTCAGTATTACCGTAGTTAGTTAGTTTGACCATGTTCTCTCCATTTGGGCACTATATTGAATGCCATTATAATTGTCACATGATTCCAACATAGCAGTCATGTCATTTTCTCACTTACTGTTAATGTAACAGCCATTATTCTCAAGATCAAGATCATGTTGACTACCTCATAGTTTTATTTTTTAATTATAATAAATACAGTATTATTTGTCTTTTTTGGTATTCTGATATTTTCCAGTTCTTTATTTTACGCATTTTCTTTCATATTTTACTTGGGTTGACTTCTGTTGGATTTGTTTATTTTTGGATGATAACTTCAATACTCTAATTTCAGTCAATATAATTTGCCATTATTGGTTAAAAATGCTATTATCAATCGTAATTCATTCTCAGCTTTGATCAATTCATGACATTTTCTTTGTTTTAGGGTTAGGGCTACACAGCTAATAGACTTCTAATTATAAATAATTCTTGATTTAATTATCTCTCACCTCAAGTATTGACTGGACGACTTTCTAAGTGATTATAAAGATGCAATGTATATGCATTCAATTTTCATTCAGTCAAGGAAATAGTTCTAATTTTAAATAACACTGCCTTTCAAATGGAGACAGTATGGTACCCCTCTGTAGTCATTAGTTTATGTGCATAAATATACGCAGATTTCATGTTTTATTCCCCCTGTTATTCCTGTCTGCTTTGTACTTTTTTCTATCCATTTATCTGTGTAGTGCTTGTGTATAACGTATTTCCTTATATTGATACTAGCATGTCACACCTGTAATGTATTCTTGTGTGTGTGTAAAGTACACACAATGTGGAATGTGGTGTTCTTTTAATTTATTGAAAACAGCTCTTTGATCAACACTTGGTCTCAGTTTTCATCTACAAATGTGTATTAAAGAAACTGGTGAAAAAGGTATCAGGACTACATTCATACTACCGTGTGATATTTTCTTTAATACTTGATGGCATGATAAATATTACCGTGAAATCATTTATTTTCTCTGACATCTAATTTCACTGTTTTGATATGTCCACTGGGTTTTTCAGTTTATGAATCTCAACGATAACAATGATTTCCAATTCATTCGCAACGTAAATAGTGAAATTAAAACCCAGTGAATAATTAAATCGGGAGGGTCATCACCTGCGCACGCACGGGAATTGAGTCCCAAGCTACGATAACAACACGCACTGAAAATGAAAAGACTCATGGGTAGACGCTTGTTTGTAAACAACGACACGCTATGGCCATCTGACGCATGCGCAGGTGACGACTCCTTCGCTTTAATGGTTTGACAGTAATCTATATGTATACAATGATATATGAAGGGTTAAGTATAATGGTTTCTTTCCAAACAAGATCTTCGTTCAAATCCTGATTGCTGTTTTAGGAGCACTTTATTTGTCTTTATGAGATTTGATGTATATATTTCTATATATATTGTACATTAAATTGCTGTTTATTTCCTCAACAGATCCACCACGGCCCCCAGGTAACCCTGGGTTATATAATAGGTATAATAATAATGTGAGTAGTGGTCCACCGCCTCCACCACCTCAAAATAAACCAGGATATTCATCCAATTACAATAACCATAGTACCACAAAAGTTGCTAATAGTTGGGATTCTAAAAACAAAAATGTGCCATCGCCGCCACCACAAAGTAACAAACCTGTTAATAGACTCAGTCAACATGGGAATCAGCCTCCGCCACCACCCTCTCAGAACACTAAGCCAAGTTATATGAACAGTGGTGCTGGCAGTGGTCCACCACCACCACCACCTTTGCAACAAACAAAGCCATCATCAGCATCATCAAACAGGCCTCTTCCTACTACGCCAGGTTACAGGCCCCCTTCAGCGGGTCCACCGCCACCACCATCTACAGGGAGGTCAGTAGCATCATTAAGAGGATCACAACCCCCTCCCCTTCCTGGTGGTGGACCACCAAAACGGACATCTTCTATCAAGACAGACAGGCCGCCTCCTCCACCTTCTCCACATGGTGGCATGTCCAGGTCCACGAACGTGCCACCACCACCTCCCCCATCAAGACCCACTGCTGCTCCACCCCAACGACCAGCAGCACCTGTACCAAGGCCACTTCCCCCCACCCCTGTAAGGGGCCCAACTGGAAACGCTGGACCTCCTCCTCCCCCTCCTACTAGGGATCGACCACCACCACCACCACCAAGTCGCGCACCAAGTTTACCGCCTCCGCCACCTCCACCAAGTCGAGATGCCAAGAGAAACTCCCTTGTTGGCAAAACCACACCAAGTTTTCCAGTTGGTGTACCAGGTAAGATGCAAGTCACAAAAGTGCCATACAAGTGCTAAAGCTGCTATTCTTTGTGTTACAAAATTGGATCTTTTGGGAGTCTAGAAACTAATTCTACATTTCAAGTATGGTATATTTAAATTATGTGTGATGTGATGACTTACACGAAACATCAAAGAAACCAGCGAGTGTTTTACAATTGACAATCAATACACTTGGGTAATCAGGTAACATTATATAGTACATTACAAAAGTATGTACTCTAAATGATGAAAAAAAGTAGTCCCAAAACATTAGTGTGATCATGACATTTGACCCAATATGATTCTCCCATCATGCTTTGTCGTGAAATTATGTTTTTTTTATTTGCAGGGGATGATTTCTCTACTAGGTTTAAATTTAGAAATGAATCTGAATTTCCGCAACCAGAAAGGTTTACACAATCCACAAAGACTTACCCAAGCAAAGCAGTCAGACAGTGTAAGTGTAGTTTATAGTTCTACTTCTCTTTCTACCTTATGTTTGTTTTTTCTGCCTTTTTGTAGATGCCTAAGTCTTTCATCATCATCCACTGCAAGCTGCTTTTTCAACTTCTTTTTCAGATAGTTTCAGATATACCACACAAGTACCTTGGGTATAATTCAGGTCACTTATAGTTATTTTGAGGTTATTTGCATATTGAATTACACTGGGGAAGAGGGGGGCTGGAGTGTTTAGGGTGAGGGTTCAGTTAGAGGTGAGGGGGTTTTTAAGAACTTCTTCCTTTCTTTAATTGCTTTGTTCATTTCACAGCAAATTTACTGAATTTTTATTTCATTTTTCGTCAAAAAGATGCATCTTCTCCAAAACTGTAAGTCTGATTGCATTGGTATTAATAATCAAAACTGCATCAAACACCAGGACTATACCGGCTATTAAACTAGTTGCTTGTTTTGTTTACTTGAACTTGTTGCCATCTTGTAAACCCTCTAGCTAGAGTTTAAAGCCAACCAGAAAAACCTACTAGTTCACCAGACCAATAACTTTGGTGCTCCTCCAAATATGGATTAAATTTGAAACCATCCTGATTGAAAATCACAGATTTGGTCTGAACAGTATAGACAGAAAATGTAGGGTAGCTGTGTCATCTGTTACAATTTTTGTGCTGAAACATCATTGAAATCAAGACCTTGATGCACATCATTTAGTTTTAGATTTTATTTAAAATTGACGACTGGCGGCCATTTTGTTTAATAATAAAGCAATACCTCTCAATATGGACAAGTACTTGTTTGATGATCAGATACAAGATGACTGAATGTCAATTATTTTAGTGTGAAAAAATCATCATAGTTAAGCAACAGCTTCTGGATCCATATCTCTGACATGTTTATGTTACAACTATATTACTATAAACAAAACTATATATCTTAAATTTGATAACTAACATGCCATGCATGGATTTTTTTATTTTATGTACAAGTGTTGACTTTTAGGGCATTTTGAGTTCTATGAAAATGTCCAACTTAGAAAAAAAAAGTAAAATAAACATTTTAGGTAGGAGATGAGTTAGTCAAAAACTTTCATAGGATTTGTCATATGAACTTTACATTAACTAGACGATTCATATGTAATATCTATTCTGTCAACAGCGACTAGAGGGCCGCCACCAGCACCGCCTGGATCCTGATGGAATTAACATTATCTACTACCGGTATTATTCATTGACTGGTTATCTCATGCAGAAAACTTCTCTGAAACCATTGCGTATAAATATGGATATCCACCTGAATAGCATTAAGACATTTCTCTCTGTATAACATATCCAAGACTGCAGCAACTGCAAGTAATTTACAGAATTAAACCATGAAAACTACTATCAGAGACAAGCAAATGATTTAAAATAGATACAGAAGAAGCGCTCTTGTTATAAAAAAGATAAATAGGAAAACATATTAATAAGTTAAAAAAAAAAATTGAATCGACTCCAAGGTGCCTTCACTGCAAGAACTAATCAATGTTGATTTGATATTGTGATATGACAAAACATAGTATAAAGTGAATGTAATTTGATTGTCCTGATCACTAAAACAAGATGAGAAATAATTATAATTTTAATGTGTAGTAATTATGCTACAGACAGTATCATGATTATTTTATTCAAGTCTATCCCAGTAGTTTTTATTTTGGCATTCAATGTCAAAAATTATATTTATTAACAGAATAATACATATTACACTGGTTGCAGTGGTAGTTTGCTGTTGCATCTTCCACTGGTGGCAGTGGTAGGTTGCTGTTGCATCTTCTACTGGTGGCAGTGGTAGGTTGCTGTTGCATCTTCTACTGGTTGCAGTGGTAGTTTGCTGTTGCATCTTCCACTGGTGGCAGTGGT